GAGCTCAACACGTAGACTCAAAAAGTAGGTCTGACGCAAGACGTTCGCCAAAACGTGGGCCAACACGTGGACACGCAACGTATTGACACGGACGTTTTGAGCACAGCACGTGTTGCGTATCAGGACGGGCGTATCGAGGCAGCCAAGCGTGGGGAGGAGGCGGCCGGGGCCGCCGCAGCCCATGCCGGCTGCAAGTGCTCCCACAACGAAAGGGGGGCTGGGGGGCACGCCATCGAGGGTCAACAGATGCGCCGTGCACCGTGACGTACTGCGCAGAGGCAGTATCCCCTCGGCCGCCCCAGCACGCAACACACAATCCGTGGCGTGTTGGCACGAAGCTCAACACGCAGATCGAAAATGTGCGCCTGGCGCGGCACGTTTGCCAAGCCGTGGAGCAGAGGGGGGCACTGCTGGGAGAGCAGCCCACCGTTCGTGGCAGTGGCTCTGCTCTCGTGGTGCAGGGGCCGCGGTCGACGCACAAGACGTGCCAGCTCCGCGGGCGGTCACGCCACAGCTTCTGCTGCTCGCCGTGGCATCTCCGCCTCCGCTGCTCGGTGTTCCGACTGGGTCTCCAATTCAGCGCCCGGACGAAGGGTGAGGCTGAGGAGGCGGAGGAGGGGGAAGTGGAGCGTGGTCTGGGGGCGTCACGAGCTTGCCGAGCGGCGGAAAAGTGGTCCCGCAGCGCCTGGACGGCCAACCGCCTGCACGCAAAGAAGCAACGCTTCCCGCCAAGGCCCCGGCACGATTCCTGGGGGCCAGCCACCCGCAGAGAGGGGCCCCTGTGACGCCCAAGAATCAGTGCTCACCCTTCCTGGCCTGCGCGCGCGCGCGCTCGTGCAAGCGGGGAAGCAGGATCAAGGGGAGGAGGACTTGATGATGATGATGCTGATGCTGCTGATGATGATGCTGCTGCTGATGATGATGATGATGATGACGATGACGATGACGATGACGATGACGATGACGATGATGATGATGATGATGATGATGATGATGATGATGATGATGATGATGATGATGATGATGGTGATGATGATAGTGGTGATGATGATGATGTTGATGATGATGATGATGCTGATGCTGATGCTGCTGCTGATGATGATGATGATGATGATGATGATGATGATGACGATGCTGATCATCATGATTATGATCATGATGATGACGAGGAGAAGGAGGAAGAGGAGGAGGAGGAGGAGGAGGAGGAGGAGGAGGAGGAGGAGGATGAGTAAGGAGAGGAGGTTGAGCGAGAAGGTAAAGGAGGAGGATATGTAAGAGATGGAGGAGGAGGAAGACGTAGGAGGAGGAAAGAGGAGGAGGAGGAGGGAGGGATAGGACGAGGAGGGGAGAGAGCAGCAGGAGGAGCAGCAGGAGGAGCAGCAGGAGGAGAAGCAGGAGGAGCAGGAGGAGCAGGCGGAGGAGGAGGAGGAGGAGGAGGAGGAGGAGGAGGAGGAGGAGGAGGAGGCGGCGAAGGAAGAGTAGGAGGAGGAGGGGATGAAAGACGAGTGGCCGCCCGCTCGAGGCGTCGGCCGCGCCCCGCAGGAGCCACCCCCACGAGGGCGCCTGCGCTGAGCCGCCCGCCTGCGCCGACGGAGCGCGCTGCGGCGGCCGGGCGGCCAGCGCCGCCCCCGAGGCCCCGGCGCTGCCTGCAGGCGGCCCGCGGCACACCCGGGGCAGGACGGGGCAGGGCAGGACAGGCGCCGACACCGCTCCACACGCATGGGCGAGGTACGAGGCTTGGAGGAGAAGGTGGAGGAGGAGGAGGGGGAGGAGGAGGAGGAGGAGGAGGAGGAGGAGGAGGAGGAGGAGGAGGAGGAGGAGGAGAAGGAGGAGGAGGAGGAGGAGGAGCAGGACGAGGAGGAGGCGGACGAGGAGGAGGAGGAGGAGGAGGAGGAGGAGGAACGGGAGGAGGAGGAGGAGGAGGATACCGCTCCACACGCATGGGCGAGGTTCGAGGCTCGAGGTCTTCGGGCGTTTCCGTCGGCCCTCGGCGGCTTTCCACCCTCGGGCTGCCTTCCAGCGGCCGCGCCTCGCCGAGGGCGTTCCAGGGGATTGCCCGGATCGTCCCGAGCGGCCGCGGGAGACCCGAGGCATGACCCGAGAAGCGGAGGGAGGGATGGAGGATGGAGGAGGGCGCCTCCTGCAGAGCGCGGCGGTGTGGCAGCAGCCCCTCCCACACGTCCACACGTGCACCTCGTCGGTCCAGCGCCACCGTGGGCCATGAGGGCCGTCGCTCTGAAGCTTTTTGGGTGAGGTCTGCTTCGCGGGAGAAGGCTTCGCAGGTACACGCGTGCCAACTGCGGCACACCCAAAAGGTGGAGGCACTCCCAGGAGCACGAGTGGGCGGCCGAAGCATCAGCTATCAGAGGCCCGCGCAGATTTCTTGGATCGACGCTGTACCCACCTGGCGGCGCATATGGCGCCGCCCCTGGCGCGTTTCGCGCGGACCTATGGAAGTTTGTGCTCATGCCGTTCAAGCTTCCTCGAACTCTGCTGCCTACCCCAAACTTCCAAGGGGCCTTGCGTGTCTGAACACGGGATCCTCAAAAGTCTGGACCTTTTCGCCGGGGCCGGTTTTGCATCCTGAGCCGCTTTTTGACGGTCCCGGGAGCCCCTAAACTTTTCTCTTCTGGTGGTCCACTGCTCACCGCGATATAGCAGGCGTGGCGTTCGAGCGAGGCGCTAGGAAGAGGAGGCGGGGGAGGAGGAGGAGGAGGAGGAGGAGGAGGAGGAGGAGGAGGAGGAGGAGGAGGAGAGGAGAGTGGCGGGATAAGGGAAGAGGATGAGGGAGGGAGGAGGGAGGAGGCGGGAGGAGGAGGAGAAGGAGGAGGAGGAGGAGGAGGAGCAGGAGAACGGAGGAGGAGGGAGGAGGATGGAGGAGGGAAGAGGAGCAGGAAGAGGGGGAGAAGGAAGGAGGGGGAGGGTTGGGTAAGGAGGGAGGGGGAAGACGAAGGAGGAGGCTGCTATTGGGCAATCAGACGAAAACACTTACACGCAGACGCTCATTGGCAGAGACCCGCAACCAGGTTATCAGTGACACGCGACGCCCATAATTGTGAGGATCCCCGCGTCGAGTAACATTTTTGTTCGCGGCTCGGCCGCCGCGAACCTAGTGTCCGAAGGAAAACTTCAGACCCTATTTTATGTACACGGGCATCCGGGAGGCGATGCTTCCTGCGGCCGGTCGTCGTTCTCTGCGTGGTGGTGTGGCCAGGATCGTGCGAGCATCGTGCAGCCTGGGCTGCTGGCCAGAGTCCTGTTAATGGTCACCTATGGGACATCCGCTCCCCGCTCTCTCTGGAAATGCGGGGGGGGAAAGGAGAGGGGAAGGAAGGCAAGCTAGGTGCGCAAGCGTCTCATCTGACGTCCTACCCCTCCCTCCCATCCCTTACCATGGCGTAGAGATCCTCTCTGCTCGCGCGGTCGGATGTTGCGGCATGGCGTAGCATTACGTGGCATAGCACGGCGCTGAAGATCAACGCGTAGCATGACATAGCATGGCGTGGCACCGGGTAAGGAAGGGGAGGGGGAGGAGATAGTGGGAGGGGAAGGGAGGAGGGGAGGGGGGAAGGAGGGAGGAGAGGGACGGGATGGATCCGCTGACGTGCGGGAGGATCCAAGATAGCGTGTTTTTCTATGTATACAGATGGATGTGCAGAAAGAGAGAGAGAGAGAGAGAGAGAAAAAAAAACAATAAATAGAGAGAGCGAAGGGGATAACGAGAGAGAGAGAGAAAGAGACAGAGAAAGCACGCGAGAGTAATTAGGATAAGGGATATAATATAAAGGAAGGAGGGAAGAGAAGGAGAAGGAGGATGATGATGAGGTCGCGCGTGGTGTTTGTATGTGTGGGGGGCGAAACAAATGATGCGATCAACATCAACGGCACCTGACTGGACGCCGACAAGCACCAGGCATCCACCCACAGGGGAGACTACGATTCCCTCAGCAGGAAAATACAACGAATGAGAACGATGCGAGAAACAATAGAGACGAATGGACATACCATAGAAAACAACACAAAGAAGCATACCGCAAAATCACCCACCTACGCACGAGTATCTCCGTGTGTGTATATATATGTACCTATACGACCACCCTGCGGGTGATAAGGAGGTTTTGGGGGGCAGCAATGGGCAAAAGTGGTGATTGTTGTTCTGACGATGCCTGTGGGGCGGAGCCTAGTGAGTAGTGTGATTGTGCACGGGCCACCGTTTGACGGGAGGAGCACCATTTGGTCCGGCCGCGGCCCAGCCACAGGAGGATTTCGGGACACCAGCGGGACAACGGCGGAACACTGCGCGCCACCGGCCGCTGGAGAAGAATCATTTGGTCCGGCCGCGGCCCAGCCACAGGAGGATTTCGGGACACAGGCGGGACACCGGCGGGACACCGCGGGCCACCGGCCGCCGGAGGAGAAACGTCACAGGATGATTTCGGGACATCAGCCGGACACCGGCGGGACACCGCGGGCCACCAGCCGCCGGAGGAAAAGTACTTGGTCTGGCCGCGGCCCAGCCACAGGAGGATTTCCTCTCGCCCGCCCACGCAGCTTCGCCTCGCCCGCACGCACGCACGGCACGCACGACACGAACCCGAAACCGAAATCGATTTCCTGGTAGGGGGGGTCTCCGTTTCATGTCGGACTCACCCCCCCAACCTCCGATGTATAAAACAAACAAGTTTGCGTGTACATACCCACTCTCACCAACTCCCTCCTACTCGGACTCGGACTCGCACCAATGCTCCTACTTCGACTCCTGCAGTACTTCGATTCTGCTTCTACACCGACTCATTCTCTATTCTTGCATGCTTCTACTCCTGCTCTACCCAACACCCTCGCGGTGCATTGCTGCCAGCAGCGCCACTGGGCTACGGTATCTGAGCTCCCTGTCGAGGGCAGCTACAACTGGGCTGGGCTGGGATGGGCGGTGGGATGGGCGGCGAGCTAGGTCGTGATGCGGGCGGCGGGCTTGGTGGAAGGGGGGATGGACCTCTTTTCGGGACAGGGCACTGGTTCCAGGTGTACATCGCGGATGCGGCGCACCAGGCACCTGAGAGCAGGGAGGAGAGCAGCCACATGACCTCCTCTTGAGAGTCCGCTGGCCCAGCGGGCAGGGGCGTGTCAGATTCCCGGCCTTTACGCCCGATTTGCTTGCCCGAAGTGGTGCTGCAGTACTTGGTCAGTGCCAATTTTGCCTCACCAGTTCTGCTGAGACCACCCATCCCCACTCCTCAAAAGGCCTCCGATGTTGGCCCTCCCCCGCCCTCCGCACGGTTCCCGAGTGACTCTTGCGCGTTCGTCTTCGCTTGCCGTTCGCTTGCCTCTAGCTGCTCTTGGCTTGCATTTAGCTTGCCTTTCGCTTGCCTGGTAGGCTTTACTGTAGCTTGCATGTGGTTGGCCTTTGAATTGCCGATCGCTGACCTCTGTCTATTGCCATCGTCATGTTTCAGCTTGCCCCAATGATACTGGTTTTCACATGAACTTGGCTTGCCTTTAAGCAGTATTTGAGATTGGAATTGGAGAGAGCGTGGTCCACCGCCGCTTTACTGTGGAAAATTCCCCTCCCTCTTCCTCTAGAACCCGGGGCTCCTCCCCCCTCCGAAAATCCTCCCCCCCTGCTCGAATCCCCCCCACCCCTCCCTTCCTTCCCCTGGCACGGCAATCCCCCCCCCCAACAGCCCCCCCCTCTTGCGGAAAACCGGGGGGGGGGTCACTACCAGTTCGAACCCCCCCCCCCTTCTCTCCAGAAAACCGGAGGAGGTCACTACCCGTGCGAACCCCTCCCCACTCGCCGCCAGCAAACGACTCCCGGGTCCCCACCACCATCCTCACCACCGCCCTCACCACTGTCCCAACCACCACCGTCCCCACCACTGTCCCACTCTCCCCACTGTTCCCACCACTGTCCCCAGTCCCCCCAACAGTGCCCCCACCACTGTCGCGCTGTTCCCACTGTCCCCAACACTGTCCCCACCACGGTCCCACTCTCCCCACTGTCCCCACTTTCCCCACCTCTGTCCCACTGTCCCCACTGTCCCCACCACTGTCCCACTGAGCTGTCCCACTGTTCCCACCACTGTCCCACTGTCCCCACTGTCCCCACCAGTGTCCCCACTGTACCACTGTACCATTGTCCTACTACCGTCCTCACCACCGCCCTCACCACTGTCCCCCCCACCACCGTCTTCACCACTGTCCTACTGTCCCCACTGTCCCCACCACTGTCCCACTGTCCCCTCACCACTGTCCCCACCACCACCGTCCCCACCAGTGTCCCACTGTCCCCAACACTGTCCATACCACTGGCCCAATGTTCCCACCATTGTCCCCACTGTCCCCACCAGTGCCCCCACCAGTGTCTCACTGTCCCCAATCTCCCCACCACCTTCCCCACCACGGCCCCACTCTCCCTACTGTTCCCACTGTCCCCAACACTGTCCCACTGTCCCCACCACTGTCCCACTGTCCCTGCCGTCCCCAACGCTGTCCCAGTGTGCTGCCCCACTGTCCCCACTGTCCCCGCCACTGTCCCACTGTCCCCACTGTCCTCACCACTCACCCCACTGTACCACTGTCCAATTGTCCCACCACCGTCCTCACCACCGCCCTCACCACTGTCCCCACATGTCACCACCACTACTACCGTCCCCACCACTGTCTCACTGTCCCACTGTCCCCACCACTGTCCCACTGTCCCCTCACCACTGTCCCCACCACCACCGTCCCCACCAATTAGGGTCCCACTGTCCCCACTGTCCCCGCCACTGTCCCAGTGTCCCACTGTCCCCGCTCTTCCCACCACTGTCCCTACTGTCCCCACCAGTGCCCCCACTACTGTCGCACTGTGTGCAGTCCCCACCACTTTCCCCACCTCTGTCCCACTCTCCCCATTGTCCCCAGTGTCCCCACCACTGTCCCACTGTCCCCACTGTCCCCACCTGCATCCCCACCACGTCCCAATAACTGTCGCCACCAGTCCCCCATCCGGAGTGGAGGAGGATGGGGAGTCGTTTGCCGGCGGCGAGAGGGGTAGGGGGGGATTTCGAACCCGTAGTGACCCCTCCCTTTTCATGATGGACCGGGAGGGGGGGGGGATTTCGAATCAGTAGTGAACTCCCCAGTTTTCAGGGGGGGGGGGCGGGGGACGGGTTGGACCCCCCCAGTGGCACCCCCTGTTTTTTTGCCAGCAGCGGCAGAACAAGCTCTTTCTGAGATTGCTTCGAAACTGAAGTAAACTTGCCTTCAGCATGCACTTCGCTTTCCTCTAGCGTACCTTGCACTTGCCTGTAACTGTTTTAATGTCATGCCTCTATCTCGCAACGTGCAATATCAATTTCGCTTTCAGCTACCTGGACTGTAGCTTGTTTTCCGACTGCCTATAAGGCCTGTCTGCAGCTTCTGTCTAGCTTGCACAGAGCTTGTCTTTAGCTGGCCTTCGGCTTGCTTTGAGCTTGTCGTTGGCTTGCCCTTCAACTTACTTCTCCACTTGCCGACATCTGGCTTGCATGCAGATGCCCAGCCCGCACAAGGTGTGCGTACACAAGTGGGCGAGGCCGCTCTGGCGAAAAGTTTTGAAACCGATGTGCTGCCCTCGTTTCCTCGTACCTCTAGCGTTGCCTCCGCTCCCTGGGTCCGAACCTGTACTCCAAAGGGCGAAGCCTGGTCCAAGTCTGGTCCACGACGCCTCCAAGGCAGCCCTCGGGAGGCCTCGGACTGGTCAGCTGCCCCAGCACAGCCGCCCGACTCACTCTCACCATCGGGCCTGCGGAGAGCCACGGGATCACTTCCTGGAGCTCCACCTGCGGGACGATCAAAAACGGGTCTTACGCGAGATGACATAGCGACATCACTCGGTGGCTTACGCGGGCCGCCAGCGCGGCACACCGCGTTGGGAACGAGGGCGCTCACGCGCCACCTTTCTACGTGGGCAGCTGACGCGCCAACGTCCGCGAAGACGACCTCGTTTTTTTGTTTTGCGTCGCTCACCTCGCGTTTGAGGTGGCCAGCACCTTCGCCTCCTTCTCGTCGAGAACCGGGGCCCCTCCCGCCACCAGCGAGGCCACCTCCTCCTCTCCAAGCGGCTGCATGCACACACCCCTCCTGAGGCACGCGATGGCATTCAGCGACGACGCGACCACGGCTCCCCCCTCCCCCTCGGCGTTGACGTAGCCCGCGGTGCCAAACTTGTTCCCGATCTTGGTGAACGTGTCGGAGGCTGTCCGGGGGGGGCCCCCGCGAGGATTGCGCGGGGGGACAAGGCGCCTCCGACGTGCCCTCGATGCCGCCCGGCGCCGTTCCTCCTCATCGCCTGGGCCCCTCCGGTCCAGGGGCGTGACTGGGCTACAGCAGCGCCCTTGCTGGCTTTCTCGTCTGGACGCCTCGCTCTTCTCGGGCGGGTAGTGATGGGGGGTGACCTACATGGGGGGGTGAAGAAAACGGGCCCTTTACGGCCCCGTGCTGGCTCCCAAAGGGTGTCCTCAAGGGTCCTCCCCTTTAGGGCCCTTACCCCCGACGCTGCGAATTTTTCATAATGTCGACCCCCAGAGGTCTGGACCCCTTCTCCGGGACTGGTCTTGCAGCCTGCGTCGTTTTCAGACAGTCCCAGGGCCCGGTACGGGCCCCCAGAGGCCGAAAATGGCGAAAACCTCCCGTCGTGACTTTTTCATGACTCGAAAGGGTCTGGGTTACCATCCGCCCGCCTGTTTACTTCCGCCGCCTTCCGCTGGTCCCCCGGCGGCGGACACGCCGCCATGTTCTGCGTGCTCACTTCCGCCGGCCTGGCACCGAGGGCGAGCTGCGACAGAGGCGAGGAGGCCCTTTCTGCTGGAGCGCGCCATCCGCAGGGAGGAGGAGGAGGCGAAGGAGGAGGAGCAGGAGGAGGAGGAGGAGGAGGAGGAGGAGGAGGAGGCTCGGAGAAGGTAGAGGGGGAGGAGGAGCAGGCAGGAGGAGGAGGGAGGAAGGGAGGGACGGGGGAGGAGGATGGAGAGGAGGGGAGGAGGAGGAGGAGGAGGAGGAGGAGGAGGATGAGGAGGAGGAGGAGGAGGAGGAGGAGGAGGAAGAGGAAGAGGAGGAGGAGGAAGAGGAGGGGACGAAGAGGAGAGGGAACAACATCGAATGGGAACACTCCTTTGTACGGCAAGTTCGTGTCGCGATGACGTCGGCATTGGTTTCTGACACTGCTGGATCGTTGAATTTTGAACGATCGCGACTTTCCAATCAACAACGCGAATCATTCAATATCGGCCGATTCCTGGTCACTGGCAACGTTCAACCTTGAACGTTCGCGCTTGGGTTGCCACTGCGTCAATGCGGCGCGAAGCTACCGTGTAGGCGGCGCTGGGGCCTCACCGAACGCTGCACCTCGTAGAGCCCCCCCCGGGCTATCCTGAACTGCAGCCTCTCCGTCAGCTTGGAGGCCACAGACCAGCTGACCGGGTTCCCTGGCCGCCCGCTCTGAACGCGCGGGTTCGCGAGGAGCACCATGGAGGGAAGGGGTCGTTTTTTATGTTATGTTTTCCCCCCCATGGAACACAGCCCCATCATGTGTTATCACGCCTCAGCCAGCACAGCGAAAGGATTCGCACTGCCACTGCAAAATGCCATGGAGGGAAGGGGGTCGAGTCGAGATTCGAGGCTTTGAACGTCTGTGACGCTGTTCGGGCATCACATCCTGAGACCTGCAGGGGGAGGAGGGGGGAGGAGGGGAGGGAGGAGGAGAGGCGTCACCAGAGAAAACCAAGGACACATCATCGCCTCTGCAATACACCCTCTCGTCCCGAGTCCCCTCCTCCTCCGGCTTCCGGACTCGTTTTCCTCTCCACTGCGTTAAGTACTCCCCTTGGGATAGCACGCGCCTGGTGTGCGAGCCACTCAGGCGAGACACTGTTTCGTTGAGGATCCACGCTCCATGCTGCCAGCTAGAAGAAACGCAGAGGTGGAGGAGCAGGAGGGGGATGGGGGGGAGGAGGACCACGGTGTTCTCGTTGTCCCACTTCGGATCCTCCGCCCAGTATGCCTTCACTGACTTGACCACGCTCGACCACTCCCTCTTGTTCTCGGGGCCCAGCCCTGGCGGTGGTGCCAGCACTCGGAAGCGGTACGGCGTGTCCCCCTCCAAGACAGCGATGGCCCTCTCGATCTCTGCCCTCTGCGAGGGCGTTAGCATCCGGGCCAGGTCCACGACCTTTCGGGGCTCGGCAACAGGCAGGGAGCGTGCGAGGTGCTAAGTGGTACCGACGCGATCTTGGCGGAGGCAGCGGTGTAGGGGGATGTTGGGGCAGAGGGCTGGGGGAAAGGGGGAAGGTGGGATGGGATGGGGGACGAAAGAGGTGCAGGATGCGGAAGATGCGGAGGAGGAGGCGGAGGAGGAGAAGCAGGAGCAGGAGGAGGAGGAGGAGGAGGAGGAGGAGGAGGCGGAGCAGGAGAAGGAGGAGGAGCAGGAGCAGACAGGAGCAGAAATAGGCGGAAGAGATGAGGAGGAGGAGGAGGAGGCGGAGAGGACGGGGAGGATCGGGGTAGGGAGGAGGTGGTAGGAGCATGAGGAGGAGGAGAAGGAGGAGAGGAAGGGGAGGAGGAGAGAGCCGGAGGATGCAGGAGCAGGAGGAGGAGCAAAGAGGAGGAGGAGGAGTAGGAGGAGGCAGGAGGGAGGAGGCGGAGGAGGAGGAGGCGGAGGAGGAGGATGCGGAGGAGGAGGAGAGAAGCATGACGGCAGGGAAGCAGGAGGAGGAGGAAGTAGAAGTAGGAGAGGAGGAGGAGGAGGAGGAGGTGAGGAGGAAGAAAGGAGGAGGAGAAACGAAGGAGGGGGAGGAGGAGGTGGAGGAGACGAGGATGGAGGAGGAGGAGAGGGAGGAGGAGGAGGCGGCGCAAGAGGAGGAGGCGGAGGAGGAGTTAGGAGTAGGAGGGGGGAGGAGGATGGAGGCGGAGGAGGAGGAGGAGGAGGAGGAGGAGGAGGAGAGGAGGAGGAGGAGGAGGAGTGAGATGGAATAAGAGGAGGGGGAAGGAGGAGGGGCGTGAGGGGAGGAGGAGGAGAGGAGGAGGAGGAGGAGGAGAAGGAGAAGGAGAAGGAGAAGGCGGAGGAGGTGGGGAGGAGGAGGAGGAGGGAGGAGGAGGAATAAGAGGAGGCAGAGGAGGGGGAGGAGGAGAAGAAGCAGGAGGCGGATGAGGAGAGAGGGAGGAGGCAGGAAGACTGAGAGCAGCTAGGAGGAGGAGAAGGAGAGGAACAGCAGCAGCGAGGAGGAGAGGAGGAGAGGAGGGGAGGGGAGGTGGAGGTATAGAATACATGGATGAGTAGGAGGAGGAGAGAGGAGGAGAAAGGAGGAGGAGGAGGAGAAGGAGGAGCAGGAGGAGGAGAAGGAGGAGGAGAAGGAGGAGGAGGAGGAGAACGAGGAGGAGGAGGAGAAGGAGGAGGAGGAGGAGGAAGAGCATGAGGAGGAAGATGAGGAGGAGGACCAGGAGGAGGAGGAGGAGGAGGTGGAGGAGGAGAAGGAGGAGGAGGTGGAGGAGGAGGAGCAGAAGGGGCAAGAGGATGAGGCAGAAGAGGAAAACGCTGGCCCTGTGTCCAATCCTCTCGCTCGGCAGCGACGGTCATACACCAACACCACCGCAGGCCTTAGCCGCCCTGGGCCGTGGGGCGGTGAATGCAACCTTGTGGCCTCGACCGGGAGGATCGATACACAATATACTCCATTCCAGGGCCCAGGATGCCCCTGACCAGGGATGGTGGACGTTGGTAGTGGTTCGTGCAGTCATCGTGCTACCATGAGGAACGCGTAAGGAGAAGAAGAAAAAGAAGAAGAAAAAGAAGAAGACGAAGAAGAAGAAGAATAAGCCAAGGGGCTTCTCTGGCCACGGCAGGCCTGGGCCACAAACAGGCTCCACGACATGAGCCTGAGGAACGGCCCGAAAGCCCGAGCCCCTCCTCAGCCCACAGCGGTCCTTCTCTCAGCGTCTGGAGTCCTGTACGGCTGCCTCCTGCGGACACCGGAGGGACAGAGCGAGGATCCTTCGGAGGCCCGCGCAGACTTCGTGGGTCGGCACTTGGCCCCCCTCTCCACGCCCCCCTCCCTGGCGCGCAGGGCGCGCCCGGGGCGGCGACCGAGCGGCGATCGAACGACCGACGGGGAGGCGGCCGGTCGACCGAGCGCCGTCGGGAGCGTCGCCCAGACCTCCGGAGAGCTCCTGCGCTCCACGACTCGCAGGTGGAGCTGCTCGCAGAGGGCACGGGCCCGTGGCGTCGAGGCAAGCAGGCCACACGGCATCGAGGCAGAAGCATGTTCTGTTGCTTTGGACGCTTGCGAGTAGGCACCTTGCGAGCAGTGGAACGCGCTCGGTGATCCACCGTGGACTGCAATGAGCAGCGCGAAGCCAATTCATCACGTTGGAACGCTGCCGTTCAGCGGGTGCGCGCGCCAAGCTGAGCAGCAGTGGCGGCCGCTGCTGAACATGAGACATGATGAGCGGGAAGCGCGCGTACCACCTTCTGGTCATCGGCCGTTGCTGCCTGGGTCCGCGCCCCATGTCCTTTGAAGGGCCAAATTCTGGCGCTCCGAGTGGGCGTCGCGTCGACACATTCGCCATCGGTTGTTGCTGCCTGGTCCGCGCCCCATCGTTTTGAGGAGCCGATTGGCTTCGCGTTGCTACATATTCTCCATCCGCGGTACATTCGTCGTGGGAGGAGGAGGAGGAGCAGGAGCAGGAGCAGGAGGAGGAGGAGGAGGAGGAGGAGGAGGAGGAGGAG